GTGTGTGTGAGTGTGTGTGTGTGAGTGTGAGTGTGTGTAGGTGTGTGAGTGTGTGTGTGTGTGAGTGTGTGTGAGTGTGAGTGTGAGTGTGTGAGTGTGAGTGTGTGAGCGCGCTCCTTGTGTTGTGTCTGCTGACGTCACCGCTGGAACTGCCTTGTCACGCGGGGTTAGTAAAAGTTGGGATAGGAGCTCCGGAGACAGAGAGAGAGAGAAACAGACAGGAGGAGAGAGAGAGGGAGAGAGGGAACGGGACAATTAAACGGACTTTTCATCGGCTTTATAGCGAACATTAAACACCGGCGGAGGTCGGGAGACAGAGAGAAATACTGTGAGGAGGAGAGACAGAGGGGGCAGGCGACTTTCTCTGAAGTTGAAGCCAGAATAATTTCGCCAGTGAACTGCCAGAGGAAGAGGAGACAACGAGCTGTGTATTTTGGATTTGTCAAACGAGGGAGGAGGGTAGGGGGGGAGACACGGGTTCGCGTATGGCCAAATGTTCTCCAGTTAGCTAAATGAACAAAAGTTGAAGTTCGGCGTCGTGGCAGTCGGTAAATGTTGTGACATTTCAGGAGAGCATAAATTGCTCCAGCGGTCGACGGTCGAGTGGCGGGGTAAAAACCCGAGCTGTCAAACCCGATGACTACTGCAAACTGCCCCGGGAATGAGGAGCTGGACTTCAGACTGATCTTCGGAGAGGACGGGCAGCAGCAGCCCTTAGGCCCCGCAGGTCAGTGTGTTTCATACAGTAAGTACTGGCAGTAAACTCACGGCACATTATGCTGTAAGGTCCACTTAAGTAACTCACCTAGGGTAGCTACTGTTGGCTTAATTTAGCCCGCCAGCTTTCGACCTTAATCTCGAAAGTGTTTGCTCTGTGAAAGAGGAACCGACCCTAACAAGTGTGTTTATATTCTGTGAAATGGAGATATTAAAATATCACGCGTCCTTTCTGTCTCTGGTCGCCCAGCTAATGTCCACAACGCCAGCTGTCATTAGCTCGACGTGCTAGCCGGTTAGCACAAGTGCTGAATTGGCATTTGGTCATTTAGTTGCCAATCCATTAAAAAGTTGTAAATGTCTCCTATAGTTTTTTTTTTGTGTGTGTGCAACAGATAGCCTGTCAACTGAGCGCCGTGTAACTTTGGCGGGACCGCAGCTGTTAGCGTTACAGTGTGGTTGATATGGTGCAAGTCAAGTATGGCTGAGAGAGGGACCAGGTTGAATGTCACTGAGGCACATTTCTGCAAAGTAGCACATGCTAATGTTGTCAAAACTTTAATTCACCTAATGTTTACAAAATAAGTGCTAAATAGGACGTGTTCTAATAACTGTGTCACACTGTAAACACAGGCTTTGCTGTAGATTTTTGTGATTGTGAATAATAAAACATATTCATTTAATTCAGCCAAACGTATGGGTTTTTGTTATTGTTGATATTTATAAATGCAAAGACATTAATGTCTAAGAGTTATGCACAACTACAACAAACTGTGCTGTAATGCGTGTCTACGTACAGTAAGTACAGGTTGACAGCTTTATTTTATTTAGCTTGCTTCTACCAAGTTCAGAAATGAATTCATTAACATTTAGGAAAAAATAAAATGTTGTAATAATAAAAATGCAAACAAGACTTTTAAAATGAAGTATCTTTATTATGGATATCACCAATACAAACATGGGTTATGGGTTATCCACTGTTGCTGCTTAATGAAACATTTGTTTCATGTGCTAAATGTCACAAATGCTAGGGACAGAAACAAAAGAGGGATGAATTATCACATAATTGTTAGGATGCTTTCGGTAGTGAGGAACCTTTACTTTAAAAAACGTGGCAAATTAAGATAAGGTGATCGTACACCGGGCAAATTGGCTTGTTGTTAAATTAGTGATATACTGAACCTGTTAAAAGCGTCTCTCTCCCTCAGTGTATCTGTTTAGTAATGGGCTTTTTACATCCGTGTTAAACTAAAAAGTTCAAACCACATTATAAGTCACATTACATATATTATTATATATTACATATTACATATTTCTTTGATTCCAAGTGCGTCAAACAATATGACAATACAAGAACTTGAAAATATAGCTTTTAGATTGGTGGATCAGTCGTCTCAGATGAACACTTTGCTAAATGAGATGCCTTGGGTTTGAATCTAGATGAGGATCTTTGCCGCATGACACTGCCTTCTCTCTCTGCCCCAGGCTAAACTATGCTATAGGTGAGGATGCCTAACAAAGTGGACAAACCTCAGAGGATAGTATTTTCTTTTGTAAGGCTAGCTTGGAAAATAATGTCACAGTAGAGAAGAAGAGAATGAAAACAACTATGCAATGCCTGGGTTCATTAGTTAGTTGTTAATTACGGACTCTCATCATTGTCTTAGTATAACAGTGGAAACAAAGCTGCTAATCGGGGACGATATTTTGTTTTGGGAAGCATTCTCAGTGGAAACTTAACTTTAAAACTTTGGACTTTTTCACAAATAGTTTGAAATGTTAGTCCTCAAGCCTTCCACAGATGCCAGGTATTTCACACAGAATTAAAGGGCACCAGTATTATTGGACATACAGATGGTCACATCCCAGTAAAATGACCTTAAATTGTTGCTTGTAGGGCAGCTTTATATCGTTTCTTTTGGAGTGTAATGTCTAGGCAATTACGAGTGGGTAAAGTTGATATTTGTTTATGACTGACAGGAGCAACCCTGCTGTGGAAACATGTGGTACATGTTGTGTAGAGGTAATTAGTTCTCATTTCTTTAATGAATGCAGGCAAATGTTAACTAATAAATCAGGACAGACTTAGGAAACTCATACAAAAAATAGTAGATTTCCTCGGTGGAAACTAGACTGGTGGTGTTGCAGTCAAGTGAAAAATACAAGAAGTGACTAAAAATGCAGACAAAATCTTTACCTGCTCCTGAAGGATATAAGCTGCTGTCTGTTAAAATGTGAAAATATATCTGTAAATGTATGGTGTTTTTCTTTCTCAGTATACATTGTACACAGGCTGAGTGATTTGGGAAATACCAAAGCTCATGAGCTGGATTTAAACCCACACATGTATGAATTAATGGCATATGCATTGGTCTTTGCATCCATGTGACAAAGTTCAGCGTCTTCATTTGTTTCTGTCTTTGGGCCTAAACCTTTGGAACTTAGGAATTCTCCGGCTGTGTCCTTTTAATGAAACTCTGGCAAAGTACTAGCTCTATGAAGGTTTGGCTTGTGCAATCTTAAATCAGTTTTTCCTTCGATTAAAAAAGAAGTTTGATTTGGAGATGGGTTGAGGGGAAAAACTGCAGTTGGAATAAGTGTAGGAATAAAAGCACCACTGTGCAAGTGGTTTTAATCTGGTCCGGACTGTATGACTTGGCCCAAAAGGGGGGCGCCTGTCCAAATTAATAACTGCAGTGTAATATGGGATCACACAGTAACCGGGAGTTGCACACTCCTGAGCTGGTCTCCTTCTCTGAAGGCGATGATCAAGTCAGGGCTTGTTTTTAGAACGACCTGGAGAACCTCTACTGTGAATATCTGGCAGGTTTTTACTCCACTGAGCTTCTTGTTGTTGAATGTTGCTTTATCATGTCAATCATCCATGCAGCCAGTTCTGCACACTTTTAATGAAAGGGCTGTGAGAAGGACATGTAACATCTCCAAAAATAAAAATGAAACAACAATGCCTCATTTTCTGTATCTCTTCTAGCAGCTGAACCAGAACTTACGCTATGTTACAAATATGTACCTAAAAAAGGTCGCCGGTTGCTCATGTTCGTGACAAATCTCTTTTACATATTTGCTATAATGGAAATGACTCGTGAACGTTTGCTTCCTGTACACTTTTACTCTGAGTCCAACTCTCGATTATTTCGCCGTCTTTCGCCATCTCTGCTTGCATATGTGAATGTCATTTTAAAAATCTGTGTAATGGAGTGGTACAGTATAATGCCGTGCCTCTCCGTCTGTCTGTTTTGTTCCGCTCTTCTTTGTCTGTCTGTTGGGTTTCTATCGCTTCATTCCTTTGCTCTCTCTGAGTGTTTTCTTGTCGCTCAGGAAACACTCACCTCTTTGAGGTGAAATATTCCACTGTTCTATTCACAGGCATTGGGCAAGCTTACTGTAAGGGTTTTCCCCTTATTATGTACAGTGCCAGCTGAATAGAAGAACAAGTCCCTCTGTGAATCAGCTCAACTAGAAAGGGAGATCATTCATAATCATTTGGAATAGATTTGATGAAAGGACAAAGACTAACGTTTTAACAACTTCATTTATTGACAAAACAGGCATCTTTAAATTAAGTAAAAATCAAAATATGAATAAAAAGCTCTTCTAGAAATACTTTTTTCTTGTAAGGGAAATCACGTAATTAATTATTTATTTAGGTTTACTCTTCAGTCCCATCTTCAAATACATGTTATTGCTAAACCAATACATTTAAACTTAACTCTATGAGATGTTGATGTTGGTGTTGACCAAAACAGGAACATTTAGTACAGAAATGTCAGACATAAATGAAACATATTAGTAACAATGTTGCCACTATAAAATGTCCCACCCTTTTATGACTATTTCTTGATTATCAATTTTAAGGGCTCCTTATCTCATCATAGGTACTTTGAGAACAGGAGGTGCTTCCAATTAGCTTCTTTTTCTTAGCTTCTTGTCTAACGGCATGGAAAAAGGCATTATTTGATTATATGTGCTGGACATGTGAGATATGCCCAAAACTGCTACAAGACTGCAGATTTGAACCCATTCACTTTTATTGCATTAACAAATAGTTTAAAAAAGCCACACTATATAACCCACGCTAAGCTCTAGCAAGTAACTGTGACTCAAGACTAGGGAAGTTAGAAAACATCATGAAATGATTCAGTATTTTGTGGCACAAGAAGATGATGATACACATCAGGGGGTGGAAAAATGAAGTTAAAGTAACGACAACTGATTCTCCTTTTTGAGCTCCCTGACTCATATTTACTGTGACAACAAGAAGCGACTCTGTATGACGGAAAAACAGATTTTTTTTGTATTTTTTAGGAATTTATTTTTGCCCTTTTTCTTAAATGACATAGGATAGCTGAAGATTAACAGGAAAAGGGGAGATAGAGAGAGAGAGAGGATGACACACAGCAAGGGCCACAGTTTGGACCCATCGCCGCTGCAGCAAGGAGCCTCAGCCTCGGTACATGTCCTGCCAGCTCTACCAGATGAGCTACCAGGGGCGCCCCAGTTTCAGGAGTCCTACAATTCCTAAAACCATACTTTCACTGAAAGGTAAACATAGTTGATTGTTGAGTCTCATTCTCAGGTCATCAAATATCGACACTTTGAAAACGCAGCAGGTGGCGTTTGTGTTCCTAGGTTGTCAAACTCCAACGCTTTAAAGCATCAGTATGGTAGCTTCACCTCACCTTTAAGTTTGACCATTTTCAACATGAGCAGGTGTGTCCTCTCCGTTTGAGGTCCTTACAGCAAATAACCACCTCTAAATACTGCACGGTAGAATTCTGAATGGCTTGATTTTTCATCAACTACCATGTCCTTACATCTGCTCTTTGTTTTTATAAGGCCATTTTAATGTAAGCATTTTCATACTCAAACTAATGTTTATGGCAATCAGGATGTCCCTTTGAATCAATAAAGTCTTTATTTATGTAGTTGAAGGGACTTTCTCTGACTTACCCGTAGTATCTATTTACAGATTGTTTTGGTTTTGGTATCTACCTTTCAAGCTTCTGT